GGGGGGAGAGAAAAGGGATCGTTTGTCCTAGGACATATGGCAGCATGTGCATACAGGACTGCATTCTCAGTTCTCCCACGGGATACATAATTCCATGATGTTTTACATGCCAAAGTAATTTCTATTTTACTTCAGCTAATAGTTTATGTTCCAGAACCACTGCCTGAAGTAACAAATTCAGTACAAATCCACATAATATTTTCCTACAGACATCTACAGATAAGCAAAGCCTTCTGCAAGCAAAAGTTACACAAAGGGTTAACCTGTTAGAAGTGCTTAGTGTAAGTATTTAGTTCAGCTGTGAGTCAGCAATGCCTGTCTAGAACTGCTAAAAGGAGACCCTTTGACACAGATCGGCAGCTTCCAGCAAGTCTCTTACTTACCATCTCCTCCCCTCCCACTGCCACTCAGCTTGAATCTTCCTCATACCTGCAATTTGGCAAGTTTTCACAGAAGCGGTTTCACCGCACAAGATGTGCTTCTACAACCACTTTGGATTGCTCAAATGTTTAAGCAGATTGCCATCTCAACTGGCAGATCGTCTCTAAAGTTTTTTTTAACATGTTTGAAGCCAAAGGCATAACACCAAAGATACAACATATTTAAAAAAGGAGCTTTAACAAGCTCAACAGCTTTCAACAGCTGTGCAGCCTCTAACCCAAGATAACTGAAAAGTTCCCATTTGAGGGAACAAGTTAATTAATTCAAAATGCATCAGCTATGTTTCTCAACAGCTCACTAAGCCAAGTCTCCTTCAATGCTGTGACAGTTTGCAGATAACCATATTTCAACAGCACTTTTCAGTCCCACAATACTTTAATGAACGTACACACAAACAACACATAACAACGTACTGCAGCCTAAGAGAAGAGAGCACTGTACACCTCTGAAGATAAGGAATATTCAAGTAGTCTAGATCAGGGACTTTGGACTTTATGCTTTGTCTGAAAAGCTGCACCTCCAGCAGTAAAATTCCCACTACTGTGCTGAGCCCTGATAAAGAATCAGGTTTGAAGAGACCCACCTAATGAGTCATTTCTGGGAATATCCTAATTTTCTTTGGCAAAAAGTACAGGCAGAGGTGTTCCTTTTCAAATACTTTTAAACTTGACTATTTTACCTGTTCCAGTCAAGCAGATTTGCAGCCCACAATGATACAGCTTCAAGGTTGAGTCCATAAAAATAACATTATTCTGACAGAGGAAAACCACCTATTTCTGTAAAATGTTCCCAAGATACCAGTTTTTAAACCTATCCAAACAACTGAATCATATAAAGACTCTGTAATTTCTGTAACAGAATATTTTTTCCTCTGACCATAACAAACGCTGTTGTACCCTGCTTGTATCCATTCGAAGTGCTGCTACAAGTTTCATTTTCCTAAAAAGCTACTTAAGCATTCCCAACACTAGTATCCCTTTCCCTGTGGCACCAAGAATAAATCACTTCTTCCCAATTCAGGACCCTTAATCACATCTTATTTACTAAGAGGAGAACCCTGCCTCCAGTAAATTCACAATGTCACTGTCAGGTGGCCAACTGTCAGGTTATGGAAACAAAGGCTCGTATGCTTTTCCCATGCTGCCTTCAAGCCCTCTACCAGTTTCAAAGCTACCTCTGTTAAAATTTCATTTGAAATCTCTCCTTGCCTTCATAACTATAAAATGCCCAAGTCTGCCACTAGTTGAGATGTGTTGAGAGCACAGTCTACGATGCTGACTAATGTCCCGATTTCTTTTATTTACTACCACCACCTTTATAACCATCTGTTGTCTTTTATCTTAGAGGACTACAAACATTAAGGATTAGAAGCTTTTTGTTCTGTTTTTGCAGTTTCTAGCTTCTTCATTTTTAAGACCTGTAAACATGACTGTAATCACGTAATGATGGTATAATGTATATGGATGAGGAAACTTTTATCCTCTTAAAAAACAGCACTTTGGGTTGAAGTTAATTAATTCTTCCAACTAGCAAAACACTGATACACTGTTCAGAGAAGGGCATGCTTAGTTTCTGGAGGTAAAGAACAAGGCACATCAAATGAGGTATCCCTCCAATCCAAATTACTGTCCTACAGTTCACATATTCTAAATTGCTCTACCATAAGCATTTTATGTTCTGGCTACAAAGCCACTCCAAAGCTGCGCAGCATTTCTAATATGCTGTGCCATGCAACTCTATGTAATACATATAATGCAGCATAATGCCCAACACTATAAAGCACCCAGGCCTCAACCACGCTCAAATGCATAGTATCTTGCAGGTAAAGGTGATAGCAAGACTCTAGCAAGACCTTCATATTGCCAAGAACCACCAACATACACCCCAGTGGGTGGAGTGAAGGAAGATCACCAAAAGGAATTCACAGATAGAAGCCACCAGTTATCAAATGGTTTCATCAGTCTCTCACAGGATGGGCCTGAACATGCAAAGGCTTTCATGGCAGCCTGGTGATCCTGAGCTTCAGACAGTTCACATTCTTCCAAAACCAGGAATTCTGGTCACCAAGTGACCCTGTACTTTGCCACTCCACTGTCACCCACCAAACAGTTAGAGGGATTCATTCCATAGTTGTCCATAAGCTACCCACAACTTGAGAAACATAGGCAGGTCATTCTCACTGTAGGATTAGAAGGCCTACTGCGATATTTCATTTTTAACTCTAGGTCTTGTTCCTCCTTCTAACAAGCGTGATAGAACCTTTCAGACATTTGCAGTGAGAGTTACCTTTGGTAAGTGCAGACCAAGGTGGCAAGGAAAAATCTACAAATGGCTATAGTCTGAAGATAAGCTAACACTTCCTTTGGCTGTCTGTCTCAGCTTTGCACAACTTTTAGTCACCACAGAGCACATTGAAATTGTTTCTGGTATTCACCTAAAACAACAATCTAAAGCATTTATCACTGGAGCTTTCTGGAACTTTCACAGCCAATAACATCAATCGTTCCCATGAAATAACATAAATCAGTTTTGTCAACTCTAGATTATTAGTTCTTCATACAAATAAATCATTGTAAGAAGCAGCCTTGTCATCAGAACACGTACCATGACATGACCACAGTAATTCCTTGGCGAGGACATACTACATGAGACATGAGTGCACTGTACCACTTACCATTCTTCCTTTCACTGAGCGGAGGAAGGTTGGGGTTTCGGCCATGATGGAGGTTGAGGGTCAGCTCGGGCTGCAAGGAGAGCTCCTGCAGCTCATTGGCAACAGCTTCGCTCTGAGGGCTGGGGGCCGCCGAAAGTGACACCAGCACCGGCTCATCATCATTTTCGCCAGCCCCTCCTCCGTCCAGCCCATTTCCAGCAATGACGGAAGGGGGCAGGCACACCACACCGGAGAAATCCACTTTGGCTTTCGTGATGGCAACCTGCAAGACAGACCAAAAAAAAAGTAAATCTCACATGAGAGACTTAACCCATATGTCCAGTTCATCATGGTGTCTCCATATTCTAGAGACACATGTTCTTTAGAACAGTGTTTGTGTTACAATCATCAATTCAAATCCACCTAGTAAGCAAAACTCAGCAGTTCATAAACTTGCATAAACCTCCAACACCATCACCACAGAAAGTACTGATGAAACTACAGATTATTATCATTTTCTTAAAAAGTATGAGAACGTTCTCAATTTTTGGTACTTTAGGAACCCAATCTTGAGAAGACACAGATAGAGTTGTTCCATGAAGTCAGCCTATCTAGAACCTTGCTGAAATCTTGATTACTCTCCTTTTATACCAACAATGGTGTTTTAATAGGACAACTGTCAATTTCAAATCCAGTCAGGCAAAGTAATCCTTCACAATAAAGCTGGAAGGACAGCTGAGTACAACAAATTAAGATTTTCAAATAAAATCATTTGCATTTCAAAAAATAATTCTCTTGCCCCGATCTTCCTTCCCCATTCACTACCAGTGAAAATGAATGCAAGAAAAATATTCCACATAAAGTAAACAAAAAAGCTTTCCTGCCTAAAACCTCAGCTACAGTAACTGAAATGGGCAATATATAAAGGTCTTTAATGAAATAAGCAATTTTAAAATATTTCATTATATGTCTGTAATTCTTTAAATAAATATTTAAAGCCATCACTATGTTAAAATTCTTTTATGTTCAGTAATTTAAACAGAAACAAACCAGCTGGAAGTCTCCAGTGAAATGGTTACTGTGTCAACATTTAAACAGTAACGGACATTATACAAGGGCAATCATATTTGGTTTTGATTAATGAAGATGGAAGTCTCCTGCTTCTTAGTATGCTGCTGTTTCAACCAGTCTAAACTCAGAAGACTACCGCTGCATAACTCTGCTGCACTGTAGTAATTTATGAAGCAAAAGGTATTTCCAGAGGCTAACCTTCAGCTTTAAAAAGATGCAGGTAAAGCAACCTGCAAAGAAGCAAAGTAAAAACCATCAGGATAATCCTCTACAAATCAGTCGGAAAGTGTACACTCAGAGCAACATTTTTAACCATATAATTTTTTATTAAGTATTCCCCACTTAACACTCGTAATTAACCTGAGTGTGACAACATTCAACACATTAATAACTGATAAAGTAGATCAAATAGTCATTTTCCCCACTTCCATTATCGTTTTGTACCTCAGTTGATTAGTAATGTTTGCTCTGTAATACCCAGAACAAAGTTGTAAGTGGTAGTACATTTGTTTCAAGAATTTGCTCAATGTATATTCAAGGCAACAATAAGAATTACTGGTAATGAATACATGCTATTTCATCTATGTTGTCATACATTCATTCCCAGGACCCTATGTCATGATCTAAAGAGAAGCAAAGAAAAGAAGGGTGGAGGAAAAAAAAGAAAAAAAAACAAAAACCACCAACCGAAGCTGGTGCTTGTTATAACAAAACAAATGAGACTGAGCCAAACCTTACTGCCATATGAAGTATTTGCTTTTACTTCAGTTACAATTTGGCTAGAAAGTGCCTACTCCCTCCTTGATGTATTTCCTGTCCAAAGCAAACATCTCCCATATCCATTTGAGAGCAAATTGTAACGGTAATCTGCAAAGAAAAAAAATTGGGATTGTGCCCTTCTCCTTACAATGCATACAGAAAGCCTGGAAACGCACACCCTTGAGCCACAGACTTAGAATAATGCTATAACAATCCTTGCAAAGGCTGGAAAGAGTTAAATCATGACCAATATAATTGGCCTCAGGCCCTGTCCCTGTAGTGATGGGAGGCCTGTGGAAAGGGTCTAAAAGGAAGAGTAAAGGCTCAGTTAGGAGGCTGGCTGGTAAGGACGGCTGTCACTGTCTTAGAGGAGCCAAAGCCAATTTGCTTTAACGAAGGAGATGTACTGGAGACATTACACTTTGCCTAGTACCACATGATGGTTAGGTCAGACCATGCAGGAAGAGAAGCGCAGCCGGGTCTGAATCCACAAAGAGGTGACAGACCTATCTAACACCCACACAGCAAGGATTTGGAATGGCAGAAAACTCAAACTTCCCCCCTCGATCCATCCTAGAAAAGGAAAAAAAAAAAAAAATAGTTCCTTCCTCTTCCCACAAGGGGAAAAAAAACCTTGACGTTTCTCAAAAAGTCAAATCTGCTTCAACTAGGAAAATAGCAAATGTACTTAGGAACATCTGACATGCTGGATTTTCTTTTAAACAGGAGTTTGTAACCTGAAATCACATTTCAAACACCATTTTAACAACAGTGTTGTAAAAAAGAATCTATATTCGCATCAGCCAATCCACTGAAACGATATCCTTTATGCAAAACCACAGTACCAAGCTACAGTAAAGGCAGTCTAGCCTAGCCAGCCACAAGGTAGAGCAGATCAGTGTTCACACACCAGTCTGCTATGTAACCCTGGGCAACACCATACCAAGTGATGTTAACTGGTACTGGGATTATAAACCAGAGTTCCCCCTGTAAATTGTCCAATGGAACTTCAGCACTGGTTATAGCTGGTTATCAGCTATCACACTTCAGCTGGATCATCACAAGAGTTGTACCTGGATCTGTAGGTTTCCTAACTCACGAAGACAACGACACAGATGGAAGGTACCTTCTTCTTAAACCTAGTTGGCATTTCATTCAGTGTTTCGCCCACATCAAAGGTAACACAGCTTAAGCAAACCTTGCCCTGACACTATGTCCTGCATTGTGCCAGCAGAAAGCTGGTTCAGCTAGGCTATTTTCAGCTGGATTGATTCCTCCATACAAGCCACAGTTGAACCAGCACACTATAGGGGACCACTGCCACAAAATGCAGAAAACCCACAGTCTGACTCTGTGCATCTCAAACAGCCTGGATGACGATTCTATTACTCCGAGTAGGGTTGCAGCTCAAATGAAACTAAACTGGGAAGAACTATCAAATGCATTAGGAAATCCTACCTTCTCCTTCCTCCACATTCCCTCCCATTTCAGGCCAGCACAAGAATCTGCAGTGACACATGATAAACTGATGAGAAAACTGACCCAGGTGTAACAGCTAGTCTTCTGGTTCACACTCCACTTAAATCAAAGACCCTGGTGCAGTTTGCCGTGCAGCCACACCAATGCTTGTGCCAGCACAGCACAGGAGAGAGAACCTGCTTACACCATTAGTACATCCAAACATCTAGCTGCTACCTAAGGGAAACAGAACTTTTTTCAGAGCAATGCAAAGTCTTAGCATGCAACATATCCCCACTTTAAAAAAAAAATGCCCAGTCCACAAGACTACAGTAAAAGCTGTAACTGGGTGAGTTTGATTTTAATGTTTTCAATTAAAAGTCTGATGAGGACATAGAGGGATTTGGAAGATGCTTTGAGGATTTATAATCATCTATGCTGCATTATTTGGAAGTCCTGTGAAAGGCATGGAATCCTTTTCTGTAACCAGCAGTAAGGCTGGTTTTAGACTTCCCAGACAGTTACACCACTCTATAACTGTCATTGTAGAATGATCAATCAGTTCATTACACACATTAATATTTAGAAGCTAGTTAAAATTTTAAAATGTTTATTTTCCCGTCATTTCTGAACAGACTAGAAACTTTCCCATAAAGAAATGTGCCATACTATGATCTTTAAGTGAGTCATCCAGAAGCTGATGGGCAGTCTTAAGAGCAAGTATTTCTTATCAACAAGGGTTTTAGGGTGAATGCCCTCAAGGATTTGTATCTGTTGCTTAACCAGACAAAAGCTTTCTATAACGGCATTTTTCCACTTTTGGGCAGCTGCTTCCGGGACAAGAGTGACTGTGATCCCACAGATGTTCTACAGCAGCAACACCAGCTTAAACAACCCTCAAGTCCTCCACTGTCCAGCTGCTCATTTCTGTCCCTACAATGCCCCTTCTTCAACAGGGGAATCAATTCAGCTGAAAACCAGCCATTTTTTTCTGGGTATTCAGCAAAATCAGTTCCCCAAACTAGTCCATTGCCAACTACACACACATAATGCAGGGGCAACAGTGAGCTCTCAGGAGCACGGAGTGCTCAAATTACGTTGCTATAAAGCACAAAACCACTGCCTCAACAATACAGGCATGGACCGCAGCACAAGGGAGAAGATGGAGCTACTCAAAAGAAAGGTTACACGCTACTCCTAAACATATGAATAATCTTAATCTCTTTCTGACTTCTGGAGCAATCTAACAAACTTTAGTTTCAGGGAGACAAACATGGCAGAGTCAATTTTGTGCAAGTGGTAAGATTAAGAACCATAGCCAAGAAGAATTTTTGGGGAAAAGATGATCTCTTTCAAACCTGAAAACCACAAAGAATAAATTGCTCTGCAGCTTCTACATAGTAGCTTTTTAGGTCCATCCTCTTGCCATCCCACAGCATATCACAGTAAACACACAGTAAACCTGATTAGCTTACTCCTTGGTGAAAAAAGTATTCCACTTTGCATTTACCATATGACAAAATTACTTATAGGAACTTCTTGTAAAGCTGCTCATCCAGAATCACTGAAGGATAGCTCAAAGCCCAAGAGGTGAATGGGAAACAAAATAGACAGACACATGCAGTACTGAAACCTGTCTGACCCACAGTAAGCCAGTTCACAGAGCTAAGTGAAAACTGGGAGGGGGAGAAGGGATTAGGATTAGTTTCCTGCCATTTTAGCTCCATTAATCACCCCATCATAAGGCCAGACAAGCACCACTGTTGGCACAAGGGAGCAACAAAGGCATGCATCCAAGACCGCCCCTTTTGGCAAGAGCTAGCTTAGATCAACTTAGCTGTATCATAAGACCACATCCTCTGGTTAGATGCTAAATTGGCATTGCCAACAAAAGGAACAGTCCAGCCTGCTCACTCCTAACCTCCTGTGGGCCAGCACAGGCTACACCAGATCAAAGAACTGATCTGTGTTAAACTTGACCTGGCCACACACACA